CCGGGGGGGGGGGGGGGCGGGGCCCCCGGGGGGGGGGGGGGCGACGAGGAGTCAGATTTCCCCGACGTAAGTGGGCGTGGTCGAGCTTCGTTTAAAGGTTCGAAAGTGGTCCTGGGGGCCAAGCTCCCGAAAATGTTGACAATTTAGGGGTTTCAAAGGCTTATTTAATCGATTTTAGAGTCACTACTAATGTGTAGAAAATATACATGTAATTATTTTTCTCCCCGACGAATTGTGCTTTTTCTCCCCCGGTGGGGGGCAACTCTACCCGACGGGGGACCCTGGCCCCCGGGCCACCCCTGTTTTGTAGTAGGCCTAGTGATACTACGTACACGTTTTAATAATTGTTATTTATTCCTTAACGTTATTATATTTACATTTAAATTTAATGTATTGTTTAAGTATGAATTACTATCTCCATGTTCAATTAATCTTATCTATTAAAATTGTATATTTAAATAATATAGTAATAAGCATAGCCGAGATCTAGCCTAGGCCTAAACGAGTAACTATGTGAGTGTATAAAATTATGAAAAATATGAATAAACGCAAAATTGTGAAAGAATAAAGGAAGAATAGGTAAGAGATTTGGAGCGGATGAAATATTTTCTGAAAATATACAATAGTAGGCCTAGTCAATATGCCGTTATTGCATTACGTTTTTGTAAACATTTTTGGGCACTAATCGCCAGAGGTCTCTGTGACACAGCCTACACTCTTCATAATTCGAGATTATGTTTGTAAAGCCCTGGATGTCCAGACTACCATATTTTATTTGACAAAAACATTGACATGTCTAAATATGGTATTGATGACATTCATGACCATGATAGGCACATCATGACTATACAGTATATGGGCTTACAACGGTTTTTTCGGGTCAAATAGAATTTGATAGTCAGAACAGGGCTTCCCAATATTTACACCATAAGTGTCGTGATACGTCACGTTAGTGACGTACGTGAGTCTTGTATGTAGATGCACGCACACGCATGAAACCGCTGAATGAACTACATGTTATATTTGATAGTCTATCTGTCTGCCTCTTATTGTCTCAACGACTACCCAGAAACACAATACATAGTATTTTAAATGTCATTTAATATACAGTATTATAATAATTCAGTATATTTTAGTGAAGTGAATATTAACCCCTTTTATTTACAATACAACGTCCAATTTCAAGTCACTGATGACTATACTTTTACAAAATACCTTAATTACGAATATAAATTATTTGCAAATGGTTAAATTTTTTAGGGAAATTCTAAAGATAATAATAAGATAAACAAAATAATTAAGTGGGAAAATTCAATTAAATTCGAAGTAGCATTTATTTAATTCCTTTTCCAGTTCAAATAAAAACAAAAATAAAATCCAGAATCATAACAATTTGGGAGAAAGGGACAGGCCCAGGAAGACTCTTGTGGATGGTCAGCCTGAATTAATACAGCTAAAGAGGACACAAAACAAACTCAAAGAAAGAGGACATTAATAAAACAGGACAAAGAAGACAACCGAAAAAAAGAGAGAGAGAGAAAAAAAAAAAAAAAAACAGGGATAGGAACGATATTTACGTTAATTTAAGATGTTTCTTTAGCTGGATTGAAAATGATCTTTTATTAAGGGAATCGGCAACTAGAGGAGGTAAGGAATTTCATAGTTTAAGTAAACCTAATGTGGAAATTGTCTTATGATTGGGAATGTAAACATCAAATCTACCTTAAAGTGCAATAATTGTGAAGAGAGGAATTGAATTTGAAGATGTCACAGAAATACTTTGGTAAAATGGAGGGAGATGATACATACATGAAGATACCTTGTTGGAGAGAGTTAATGTCAGGAAGTTTGAGGAGATGTAAATTGGAGAATAAACTATAGCCCCGTTATTCAACCCCTGGCCGGCGGGTAAATCCGGCCCGCCAAAGACTTTGATCTGGCTCTCGCGCAACATTGCTGAAGATAAATCATTTTCCAACCGGCCCATTTTTAGAAAGCGTTTTTAATGTTTATAGAAACACCACCTAGGCACCCCTACTATTTTATTTATTTTTATTTATTTCAACAATCTTTAATGAGGGTGGTCCATCCAGCCGAATCTGATCATAAGGGACCCTCAATACACATAGTAAGACAAAACAAAAGAGCGTATTAAACTAATTAAATTACAGTAAAATAAATAACAACCTCTCAATACAAAATTTACATAAAGAATTAATTCAAAATTAAATAAAAAACTTAATATAAAAATTAAAATAAAATTACAATTAAAGATGAAAATGAACGAGCAATATTAAAAAACAATAGGCAAAGGGACATTAAAACAACAAAGGGAATAAAGTAGCCTAAACAAAATAATCAAATACATTAAAAATAGATAATAGGCCAATGTATATGAGAGCCATAAATCAAATCACTCTTAATTTAAAGAAAATAAATCAATTTAAATTAATAAATAAAACAGAAAATAAATAATAAGGTAGAAATCAAAAAATGAATTCTCAGTGCAAAAGGCCAAAGAAACAGATTTAAAGGAGGAGTAAGTAGAAGCATTGCGGATATCTAAGGGAAGAGAGTTAAAGAAAGAGGGGGCATTAAAGCTAAACTACTATAGCATTGTTTACAAAAATGTGGCTTTTTCTGAGTGTGGCTCACTGTATCTAGTGGTGTAGGGTATTGACATGGGGAGAGGGAGACAAAATGGTTAAATCGGGCGCTGATATGATGCGATGTTTGCCATTTGGCGGTGCCAGCAGGTCGGGGCATATATTCTGTTAAAAGCTTTAAAAACTAATTTTCGAAAGTGCCATTTCCAGGAAACTAGAGGTATCTACGTTAACAATTTGCTCACCTCAACCCCAACCACTGGTGAGTGGATATGTTTGTGTGGTAGGATGATTTCTAGTGACAGGGTAGGAGAACCTGGAGTGCAAGTTTTTATTTTCTAAAATAAAATGGAGAAGAAAAGAAAATTGTATTCAAATTTAAGTCACGAGTACCATTTCCGACCATCTAGAGGTGTCATAATCATAATTTTTTTTTACCTCCGCCCCCACCATTGTGGGGCTGAGGTGGTATATTTTTTCCTTGGCCCATTTTATTTGAAATCCACCACTATAAAGAAAATGGGTGGGGCTAACATAGCAAAAATGGAAGTACACAATTTATGTCGGCCCACCGCTGGTCTCAACAGATTGGAACTTTCCCCAGCTTAAAAAGGTTGAATACTCGGGAACTAGAGGAATGAGATCGCGGTAGATCGCCAGATATAGGCCTAATCCTGATAGCCTTTTTTTTTTAATAATTTGAAGTTTATTTAGGTTTGAGGGGTATGAATTTGCCCATACAATGTTGCAGTAGCTCAGATAACGAAGAATTAGCGATCAATAAAGTAAACGAAGCAAGTTGATGGGAACAAATGAGAAAAGCCTATGATACCAAGATTTTTGGAAACATTATTTCCAATTTCGCTAATCTGTTTCCTCCAAGTTAAACCACAATCAAGATAAAACCCAAAAAACTTGGTATATTGAACATTTGTATAATGAATTGTAAAGCGCATAATACTAGGTTTCTATGTGCTTGAAACAAATGTCCAAGAGAAGTTGAATAAAAGAGACAAATAAGATGAGGAAGAGAAAAATAAAATGAGGAAGAGACAAAGGAAATGGAACAAGAACAGTCAACAAAATAATATATGGATGAGAAAAAAATTAGTTTTGATTCTGGCCTTGTACAGAAAAGAAAATTAAAACTACAACCAATACAATTGAATTAGGCTATACCCTCTTGTTTGAAACATATAATGGAATATATTACAAAAGAGTACACAGATTCTACTCTCTTATTTTACCAAATAATTATCTCTACCAAACAAATGAAAACAATGACAAAATGTAAGGAAATCGCTTTAATTTCTTTTTACCACATTGTATGACATTAAAAACACGTTTAAAAGGCGTTCCATACCTGTTTTTAAGTAAACTTGGATTCATAGTAGTAAAATGCATGCGATACCCTGCGTCTTTCCCAAACGGTTTGATTGGAGCCATGTTGCACCTGGAATTTACATATAGGCCTACTGTACTCAAATTTTAAAATAATTATTGAAAGATACAATAATGCCAAAAAATTGTGTTGCTAAGCATAGGCCCTAGTGGCTATTTAAACCACTATTAGTCACTCGTAATTATTATTAGGCTTTTGTTTAAATAGGCATAGGAGTAAGTGTTGCTTCAATGTTTAGAAATCACTTACTACCCATGCTGTATTTGCAATTTTGATGTTTTTAATGTGGATTTTCATTATCCACACTAGTCTTTAAAAAATAATAATAGTGCCATAAGACGTTATTATGTACGGTAATTTAAAAAAAAAGTTACCTAAATATGTAATCACTCTTATCAATTTCCGCTCCGCAGTCGCTATTTTGTAAAATTCCACTGTTACCAACAACACTGCAGCTTTTAAAATGTTTTCCTACCAATGGTGACTTCTGGAATAATAATAATAATAATAATAAGAA